AACAGCTTCTTATGTTAAAACATTCCAAGCCTTTAGACAAAGCTTCATGTCTTTAACCAATTACAAGCCAAAGAATCTTTAAACACACCTATAACCTGTAAGCCCCTCCCCCTTCAAGATGGCCCACCTTTTCGGGCCAAACCAATGTATGCCTCCCACGTGTTGATTTATGACTTTACCTGTAACCCCTGTCTCCCCGAAATGTATAAAACCGAACTGTAACCCAACCTCTGCGAGTCCACTGCTCAAGACCTCTTGGGCGTGGCTCCGGGTCATGGTCCTCAAATTTGGCTCAGAGTAAATCTCTTTAAAATTATTTTACAGAGTTTGGTCTTTTTTCCGTTGACAGTGGGGACAGCTCATCTTTGCTCCACATGGTGTCAGCTGGAGCAGCCCACATGGGAATTGGAAGAGGATCCACTTCAAAGAAGGTTGGTTCACATGGCTGACAATTTCGTGTTGGCTGTTATCTGGGAGCTCAGCCAAAACCATGGGTTTCATCACAGGTTGCTTGGGTTTGTTCTCATAGCACATGAGGGTTGGGTTCCAAGAATAAACATTCCAAGAGCTAGGGAATGGAAACTGCCTTTTTTTTTTGAGACAGGGTCTTACTCTATTGCCCAGGCCAAAGTACAGTGGTATCAGCCTAGCTCACTGCAACCTTAAACTCCTGGGCTCAAGTGATTCTCCTGCCTCAGCCTTCTGAGTAGCTGGGACCATCTGTGTGCCACACCTGGCTAATTGTTTTATTTTTATTTTTTGTAGGGACAAGATCTCCCTATGTTGCTCAGGCTGGTCTCGAACCCCCAGGCTCAACCATCCTCCCACCTCAGCCTCCCAAAGTGCTAGGATTACAGGTGTAAGCCAATGCTCCCAATGGGAAACTGCCAGTTTTTAAAACCTGAGCACAAAAACTGCTGCAGCAAATCTTCCACCATGTTCTTTCAGTCAACCAGACACAGAAGCCAGATTGAAGGAGAGGCTACATAGACCCTACTTTTCAATAAGAGGAGTGTCATAGAATTTTGGAGCTATGTTTTAAAGCTGCTTGCAGGGTCCAAAACCCCTCTGTGGAACCTTAGCTTTAGTAAACTGAACTAGATCATTTAGAGCTTAGAGAGCTCTCTTGTGTAATCAAGTCAAGCCTAGATGACCTTCCCTCCTTGGAAACCCCAGGCCAGATACATTGGAACACTCAAGAAGAGAAACAAACCAAGGAAGTAGCTTTCAGCCTATCTTATCACACCAGGCAGTCAATAGAGCCAAGACAAGGAGGCCAGGATTCATGAAGGACACCATACTGCACTGATATTTGCACATTCAACCCTTCTACTTTTCCACAGTGAAAGGTCTACCTCTTAGCACCTTGGTCCTAATTTATCCCCAAAGAATCCATTTTTATCTTAGCCATATATCTGCCTCCACTCCTTGGAGGTGGCAGAGAGGCAATGAATCTATCTAAATGCAAATAACTAGACATGCAACAATAGTAAGCCCCAATAAATATACATAGAATAAATGATGTCACATAGTAGAGAACCATTCCCTATCTGTACCCATAGATGGAATCTATAGTTTACATAAATTGGATGAATATCTATTGAATGTTCACTATGTGCCAGGCACTTCACTTATATTACATATCTTTTTGGATAATATTCATACTTTTTAAGTATCAAAATAATCAGAATATCTATAGAGATTTTTGTGCCAGGATTTGCTGTGTCAGACATCCTCTAATTGCTGAATCATGGAGAGGTTCAGGGTGTCCCAGGAGAGAGATGGAGGGTACTGGAAGTGCTTGGAGAAGTAGATATATACCAACTCATATTAAATATTAAATATTAATATTAAATATTAAAATATTTCAATATTTTAATCACCAGTACAGTCTTACTAGTTGTGTATTAGCTAAACATCAGCCTTGCCTTGTAAAATCCTCATAATGCTGTGAAGTTAGTACCATTATTTTACAGATGCATAAAGAGAGCCAGGAGGTGGAAGTACTCTGTTCAAGACCACAAGGCAGACCATGCTCAGTGGTTCATGCCTGTAATCTAGCAATTCGGGAGGCTAGGGCAGGAGGATCCCTTGAGCCCAGGAGTTCAAGGCTACAGTGAGCTGCTATGAGCATGCCACTGCATTCCAGCCAGGGTGACAGAGTGAGACCCTGTCTCTAAAAAAAAGAAAGAAAGAAATAGGGCCTTGTCACCACTCATCAGTCTTATTTGTCATAATCACCCTTTAGAGAGAGATCATCTGTTCCTATACTTTTCATTTTCCCATCATTGACCACTCGTTTTTGCTGGCTATGTTTTATTCGTTTTTCAGGATTTCAGGATTCAACTTGGATTCTGCTTCCTCTAGGATTCCCAAGACTGGGTTAGGTGTCCCTCTTTTGTGCTTCTACCTTTCCCCACCAAGAGCCTTGTTAATTTCTGTTGTAGCACTGTATTGGATATTTCCACCCTAGATTTAGAGCCCTTGACTATGTCTGATTACTCTTTGCACAGCATTGAACTAAGTGCCTGACAATTTGTTATTGTTACAACATGATTCACTCTCTTAAACAAGTAGACCTTATACATCACATTCAGGCCTTCATAGCCATCTATTATATACTGTGATCTATTTCCTGAAATGATGCTTAGCCCATTGCATAACCTGATGCTTAATGGAGTTTTTTTGAATGAAAGTTCTGCTGCTACTCAGATTTTCATGGTTATTGCAGTAAGGACTTTATCAAAGGACCTTTTCTCAAAGATTCTGAGAGCACTGGTTAAGGGAAACATAGTCTTTAAAAATCTGATATGCTGGCTGGGCGCGGTGGCTCACTCCTGTAATCCTAGCTCTCTGGGAGGCCGAGGCGGGCGGATTGTTTGAGCTCAGGAGTTCGAAACCAGCCTG